CATTACATTAGCAAGTCTACACATTCACCTTGGAGTATCCCAATGAACTCCACTGGCTTTTCTTCAGAGTAGATATATATTGGATTTGCAGACTGAAATTGCTTTCAAGATGTTTCATGTAGAACTTATCATACTTCCTCAGGATACATGTCACACATGCTGAGTCCTTGTTGATCCTGATTAAGATTGATTGAAAGGATTTCCTTAGATGGTGTGCTTGGGAAGTTTTCATCTCTCATGTGACCCTGGCATATTTTGTTGAGGACCTGGTCACATGCCAAGTAAAATCCAGAGGAATCAAGTATGTAGATACAGATCCAATTCCATAGTGTTGATAATGCACCCTGGAGAATTAAAGGTCAGGGGTTCTTTTTATTAATGTGTTTTTTGTGAAATTTAAAAGAATATGGCAAAAACAATCTATAACTCAGTGACATTTCTAACGGAAAAAAATAAGTGGAAAAAGGAGGTTATGGGTACCACACAGTTCAGAAGCGTAGCTCATTTTGGGTTGGATTAGATTGGGGATAGGAGCAGGAGTGAGAACAATGATAGAAAATAATGTGAAAGAGTGAGAAATAATTATCCTTCCTTATTGTTCTGTCTGGGGTGGTCTAGAGAGGAAGAGCAAGATGGTTCCAATCAGAAACTGACAAATTTACAGGAACTCAGAGAGTGGACAAAAAAAGGGAAGATACACTGCTAAATGAGCAGATCAGAAAGAAGCTGTAATTTTCTAGGCAGTTATAGGTATGCGTGTAGAGAAAAAAGGGAGTTGACCTTGGGAGGACATTTCTAAGACATAAACAGAAGACTCTATTTTCATCTGATTTACCCAAAGAATGAAAGGTTGGTGGTAAGCAATTGTCCTTCATGTTAAGAATACATAAGATTATAATGAAGATATCAGTTGCATTTCCCATTAAAGGAAAGTGCATCTCTGTATTAGAAATTGTGCATGTATACAGTAAGGTGAGTTTTCCAGAGCTGCATACTAGCAGGAGATCTATCTAAACTTTCAGATGACTTATCTCAGAGTTTTCCTATAAATATTGAATAGTATAAATAACAAAATGGAGCTTTAAGATATCTCAGAGAGCCAGTTTGGTGTAGTGGTTAAGGTACTAGGCTAGAAACTGGCAGACTGTGAGTTCTATTGCTGCCTTAGGCACAAAACCAGCTGGGTGACCTTGGGCCAGTCACTCTTTCTCAGCCTTAGGAAGCAGGCAATGGCAAACCACTTCCAAAAAACTTGCAGAAATACGTAACTGCAGGGACTAGTCCAGGCAGTCACCAGGAATCAACACTGATTCAAAGGCATTAAAAAAAAAGATATCCCAAAGTCCAACAGAAATCCCCTTTTTCACATATCAAAAAATATGTTTCTTTAATATATAAAAAAATTAAAAAGAACACAAAGAACACAAACAGGAAAATTAAAGAACAAAAAAATAATTTCACATATCAAAAAAATAATTCAGCTCAATTTCTAAACATATTAAATCTCGAGCATACAGAATAATACTGAGCAGTCTTTGCATTGTATTGTTAAAGAGCTAGATTGTAAACAGAATGCAAACACATCAGTGATCTAAGATTGTACAAACACCTGGAATCCCATTGTCTTTCCAACAATGAAGAGTAATATTATTTGTTGTTTCTGCATGGATGAATCCATAACTCATGATAAAATGCTAAATTCCAACTTTCGGTTAATAATTCAAGAGTATGTTCACATCTGTAAATCATACTGATTTTTGCCACAAACCTATAGATATTAAATGGGGCAATAGTGGAACAAGCCTATATTTTATCAGTTAAGTGCCTCCTCATCTATTTTACACTTCAAACGTTGTAAAGTTGTCAGCCAGCTCTTTAAAAATATTCTCTGTCCAGTTAAGGGGAAGAAAACCTTTTGTTGAATTAGTTGCATCTTTATATCATAAAAATATAATTTACATTCTTTAAAACTCTTAGCCATACATTTCTTAATAAGGGATATTACAATATTACAATAATTGAAAAAAACTGATGCTGCTGATGTATATGGAAGAATTATTAAACCCTGTCATATGACAGCCATAGCTTAGATAAAGAAAATCTAGAGGGTTGCTCTTCCCATAGATTATTTCTTAAATGTTTTTCCAATTTGCTCCAAATAACGATTTTAACACAGAAACATTCTAAGTAAATATATAAATCTTATACTAATGTTGTTACATTTATCTTGCCCCATAAGCTCAACAGAATTTTAATAATTATTTAAGTCCATTTTTATTTGAGAAAGAAAGTAGAATACGTTTACATCCACAAAAAAACTTTCCTTGGAATAATTATTCCCAGGTATTTGAAATAATTCAACAAGTAAAACCCCACATTTTATACATTTTAATACATTAGAGCCTATAAGAAGTGTAAGAATCTTATTCCAATGAATTAAATACCCTGATAAATTGCCAAATTGTTGTACAATATCAATACAGTTTGGTATACAAAACACGTAATTATCAAGCATTATTGGCATATAATAACAGTTTGACTCAGGCTATTGTTAGAATTTTTCCAAGCCAATAGTTAAGCCAATAGTTCCAATATCAAATTAAAAATAAGAGGAGATAAAGGACATCCTTAATGAATTCTACAAGACATTTTGATACATAAAGAAATAATTCCATTCATATTAGCCCTTTCAAAAGGAGTGGGGTAGCTACATATTGGTCCAAATAAAAAAGGAAGAAATCCAACTTGTTTTTAAAAATTCATATCAAACTCCTTTTCTGAATCCAACAAGATCAGCATTGCAGATTTTAGGTTTTTCTGAATATACACCCAGACCATCAATTAGCATAATTGTTATCAGATGCTTGGTGACCTTTTATAAAGTCACTTAATCTTAGCCAAAAGCCTGCTGCTTATTTTATCTAATAATGTCCTTATTATCTAGCATTGCTTTCTTGGAATATTAATGCCAATTTAAGTTTATGCAGCAGAGAGAGAAAGAGAGAGAGATCCACAAACTATAATAGTACAAAATGGGCCTTTGAGGAACCTAAGAACATAAAACAGCTTAGTCTTAGGCCAGCAATAGTGAGCCAAATCCTACTATGGTTTCACAAGCAGGAGATAGAAACATAGACTTCTTCTGTCATTGTTCCCCTACAACAAATATGTGGAATGATGCTGCTCCTACTCTGAGGTGATAGAGTTTTAAAGACTAAGGGCCCTTGATAGACTTGACCTCCATACATTTACCCATTCCTCTTTTAAAACCATCCAAATTAGTAGCTATATTGCTCTATTTTTTGTAATAAATTCCACAGGTTATGGTGTGTGGAGAACTGCTTCTTTTATCTGCTTTAATTTTCCTTCCAATTACTGTACCTTTGTTGGATGATCTCTGATCCTAGTGTTTTGAGAAAGGGAGAAAAACTTCTTCTTGTCCACTTTCCCAGGCCATGCATGATTTTAAATAATTCATGTCCATTGTCATCAATTTTTTTCAAGCTAAAGAGTCCTAAGCGTCCTAGTATTTTCTTGCAGGGAAGATGGCCAAGCCTTTGGTTACATTCTTCTGACCGTTTTGTAGCTCTGTTATATCTGTTTCAAAGGTGGAAACTGTACTCTATAAACTGTAAACTGTACTCTATAAACTATAAACTGTACTCTAGAAGCAGATGTGCCATAGATTTGTATAGAGGTATTATAATATGACATCTTTGTTTCCTATCCTGCTATTGGGCTCTAGCATGGAATTTATGTTTTTTCCTAGCTGCCACACACTGAGTCAACATTTTCAATAAGCCACCCACTATAATCCCAAGATGTTGTCATTAGTTCAGACTCCAGCTCCAATATGCATCACTTTACACTTAAATTAAATTACCTTTGTCATGTAATTGATAGAACATTCATTGCAACCTTTTACTGCAAAATGCAATTTATATTATTATATTATAAACTGGTGTTTGCCAGCTTGGGAAAGTCTTGCCTTGAAAAGTTGGATCTGAAATAAGCAAATCTCTCCTATGTATATTTATCTGAAAGTAAGTTGCATAAAATTGCAGACTGGTTTACTGAAAAGTCTCACTGACTGTTAATTACAACTTATTTCATTGATAAGGAATATCAGTATATAAGGTTATAGTCTGGTTTTATTGTTCAAGTAAATACTACACAGGTAGAATCTGATATATTTCCTTCCTATGTTTTAAGTATGTTATTTCAAACATATTTCAATGCGAAAAGGTCTGGAAATTGTAATAACTTTGCTAACTGATGACCATGTAGTCACCTGGAGTCGAGCTCAGTTTGAAGGTGGCTTTACCATTTTATTTCAAATGTACAGTTCTACACCTCTCACATGTCATACTGGATACCTATGGTGAGAAACAGGTGGTCGTTAGGACCTGGAGGGATCCCAAGGAAGCATTTTGCCTGGCTGGTGAGGCTGTGTTAGAGAGACCTGGAAATGAAAGTAAAAAAGACGAAGAGGCACATGGAGGGAACTGCAGGGGCGGCAGCAGTAGCTGCTCCAGGATCAGAATGCTGCCTTCTGTAATGAAGTAAAAGTGACTAATTATTTATAATAATAATTATTATTATAATTATAATATCTCTAGTAATACCATACCATTTATCAAGGGGAAGTAACCATAGTGAAAATTTCCAAGCAGAAGGGGTGAGTAGGTTAATTTTTTTTGTCTGATAAGGAAGGAAAGAAAAAGGTAGGGGGAGAAAGATGTGAGAAATACCCCCCTCCCAGCAATATTGCATAGATTCGCAGAATAGTGACGGAAATTGTAATTGCAGATGCAGCTTAATCCTTCCCAATCAGAAAGTCTCGGACTTCCTTTAAAAATACAGTTGGGAGCAAATCCGTAAAGACCATTTTTCCCGGCCGAGATCGCGCTTAGGAGGGCCGGCAGGAGTTTGGCAGCGAATGGCGCACCCAGTGCCCTTTTGAAACGATCGGGACTTCCCACTGTTTCTCTCCGATGGGGCGGGGGGATTGTGAGCTGTTTTGCCTCTGCTTATTAAAAGCGCTCATTATGTGCAATTCCAGTGGGGGAAAAAATTGCGGACGCGTATGAGAGGGTCCTGCTTAAAGGTAGCTTTCAGCTCTGCTCGATACGGCATTTTGTAGCCTGACTTACCAAAGTTATCAGTTGAACAGCATGGAAACGGTCTTCTATGTACTGCACAGATCGCTCTGTGTATATCACACATCGTTCTGCGCCGTGGGGCTATTTTAGCTTGGAAGTAGCCGTGACAGTTTATTGTGAGTTTGGGAGTGAGTGCATGTAATAATACTGTGGGTTTTTTCCGTTTACTTCCGCCATATAGATGGATCTAATGCCGGTCAGCTTTGCTAAGCGAGGCCGCGGCTTGGAGGCCTTGGATTAGTGGGGGTAGGACGGTTTTATTCCAGCGGAATTTCAACTAAAAATCGGGTCTTTTAACGAGGGCCAAATAAGGACAACGGTTTGAGGAAGCCAAGAAATATAAACAAGATGGAAGACAGTTAATGTGCATAAACAGGGTATAGTCTGAATACCAAAGTCTTCCTAATATTTATTAATATAACAGACTACCATCCGTGCATAAATGTGTGCCTGTTGCATTAATAGGTTAAACACGTTATATTAATAATACGGAGAATGCATAGTAGGAGAGTGGGAAATGTGTTTAAAGTGTTACAGAGGAAACAGTATTTTATCATGCATTATTAGAAGGAAACTAGAAGGTGAGTGCCAGGAACAAGTAAATTAGGCATTTTAACTTCCAGGCTGGTGGGATATACTGTAATGTATGGATACTGTTTGTTTAAGCATTTGGGGCATCTCTACATTATTCTGTTCTTAATCTGTTTTTTGCTCATTTTCAGTATACTTTGCCAGTTGGGAAAGTTTGCCATCTTTTGTCAAAAATATTTGAATAAAAAAGTTATTATGCTACTTTACACAACTTTTCAAAGCAGTACTAACCATTTATATGATCCTTAATGTCATGTCCATATTGGAGGTATAGGTGATTTGTGACTTGTAGATCCTATGTGGCTTAACATTGTGTTTGTTATTAGGAATCTGGTAAACCTCAGGTTTGCAAAATAAACCTCTAGTCTTCCTAATGTACAGTTATGATTCTTATAATAGAATGGCAAAATTGCTGAAGAATTGTGAATTAGGAGGCAAGTAATAAATCTGTACAGCTCTCAGGGTTTTCAGCCTGATTTTCCCCCATCTCTGCCTCCATGTATTGTATGGTGTGTGTGTGTGTGTGTGTGTGTGTGTATTGAGAGACAATATGTCACATCCAAAAATTATAACTGCTACATTAATCAAAATAATATGCAAAGTTGTAGTAAAGTTGTAGTGAATAAATACATTTATAGGTACAATGTACTTAACCAGTGCTTTTAGTACCTGAAGTTTTAAATTCTTTAAAAATGGTAACTGAAAAATATAAGTACTTTATAAAAAGGATAAATGGGCCCTTGGTCAAAAGCTGCAAACATGCTTTCAAGAAGGGTGGAAAAGCAGATGGGGGTGGAATAAAGGCAATTTTTATAGTTTGTATTTAAAACTCAAATAGTTAATAACAGTTTCAAACTGAAAACAGGTATGGAGATTATGGCAAAATTAGAAAAACCTTGCATAATGATGGCTAGAAAATATTAAGGTGAACAGGAAGGGATGGTTCTATGCTTTGAATTACCTGCTATTTAAGGATCACGAAGTTAGCTTCCTTGCAGTACTGTACAGTTTAGAAATTTATTTGGAATGATTTCTGATAGTGTTCTGTATATGCTGGCTAATTCTCGGTAAATACAGTGTTTATAAGCTAGCTTTGTGTCAGTTGAGCAAATCACAGACATGTGGGTAATCTTTTGGCATCCTAGAAAAGTTGATAAATTGGCAATAAATTGTTACCAGGTTCATCCACAAACTATGATGTATTTTTTTTTGTTTACAAATATGCAAAGTCGTATAAAACAGGCTACTGAAGCTTGTTCAGTAAACTGTATTTAAAATACAATGGTTTAAACATATGTTGAATGCAGCTGTTGTATTAATGGCATTAATCCATAACTGTTCATATTGTATGTAGTGGAATTCATGTGGAATTGCAGTTGCTTTTTATTTTTCTATTTCAAAATTTTCTATTTGCAATAGCAGTGATGTTTTCGTTTTAACAAATAAAGTCTTGACCTGGTTTTAAAATATCTTGTTTCTAGCAATTTGTGTTCCTAATACTGCTGTGCTTTCAATATCTTTTATGCTGCACTTAAGACTGAGCAATTGAGGTATTCTTTCAATCTGCATAGTGCAACTAAGGTTAATTGAGAACCAATTTCCTTTTCTTTATTTGTAACTTGAAATATCAGAACCTTGACTGGTAGTTTTGTACAGTATTCTGATTTTTCTTCTGAAGTGGGCTTAGTGCTCTGTTTTTTTCTCTATGCTCCTTGTGGCACCATAAATAGTTTATTTTTGTTTACCTTGCAAACATCTTACACTCACACACAAATATTTTATTTAAAAGAAACTGTATAGAAAGGTGCAGTTCTGAGCAAGACTTTAATTTTTTTTTTTTTTAAAGTACAGTATGTGACAATATTTTTCAAGTATATAGTTTTAAATCATCAGTATATCTATCCATAAAGGCCTTTTTGGGTGCAGCAAAGTTCTAGCGGCTCTCCTTTTTAAATTTCAGCAATAGACTGTGAATTTATACAATGCAGATTGTATAATGGATGCTATCAATGCTTTTTTTATTAGTGTTCCTTGGTCCAGTCAAAGCTAGTAGTTATTGTTTATAAAGTTCTAAACTGCCAATATTTCAAGATTACCCTTTTGTTGTAGCTTAGACAAAATAGGTTTTGCCATATGTTAGCTTAGAAGGTTTTTAGCAATTATTTTAAGCCTGAACTAGTTTTTATTTTCAAGGTATATGATACAGTATAGGATTATGGATTGTGTATAAATAAACTGCTTTAGTTAATTTTCCTGGAAGAAGACAGTGGCCTACTACTACTGTTTCATTGACGTAAAAACAAAAGGGTTTATGTAGTCACCAGGAATCAAACAAAACTTGAGAAAGGCATTACTTTGTTTGAGAAAATTGACTGTAAAATCTTTTAAGTTATTCAGTAAATTAATAGCTTCACTGTTAATGAAGAACTGTTCTGGATCCAGTCAAAGACCTATCCAGTCCAGCATTGTGATTCCCACAAATACTGTTGTTCTATTCAGTCCAGGATTCTGATTTAAGGCAGAGAAAATAGCCATCCCTACCAGTAGAATTCATAGTTCCTTAATAATCATTAGAGTTACTGATATATTTATCCTATATATATTTGTGTAATTCTCTCTTAAAGTCATATCTAGTCTTCAGAATACTTCCAAAGAATTAAGGGTTGTTGAGAAGGGTTAGAAGTTCTTGAATTTGTCTCCTATTCCTTTGTACTCCTTAGAAACCTTGTATATACCTTTGAGAAACATAATGAAATAAACATAATGAAATAAGCTTTTGCATTTGCTATATTTTTAGGAGGGAAAGATCTTGGAATCTATTTACTCATATTTGCAATAATGAATTGATAGGTTTTTTATTTTTTTATTTGAGGATGGGGAGAAAATGCAAAATATTAACATATTTGGGAAAGAAATGTAAAAGTGGGATGTCATTGTTAAAATTTGAACTGAACAGATTTGTACAACTATAAAAGTTTAAAATATTCTTTTTTACTATTGTAGTGATGCAATGGAAAGACAAAAAAGAAAAGAAGAGATAGAGAAAGGTCTTCAGTTCATCCAGTAAGTAACCTATTTGAAAATGGTAATGTTTCTGTTTTTACTTATTTATAACATAAAATGTGCTTTTATTGTATCTATTACTAAATTTATAGTTGCTTCTTTGCAAACACTGCCCAAAGTTGTTGAAGTGTACTTTTCATAAAAAATTATTTAATTACCATGAAAATGTCATATGAAATCAGAGACCTATAACATAGATGAAACATCCAAACAAGAATCAAATCACAATTCCATTATAGTTGCATTAATGTAAAAATATTGCGGTGCCCAAGAAGGTACTTGTTAGAACTGTGTGACCTAATTTAAACATATGTGGAATTTGGAATCTTGACATATTAGACCTCCATCAATGTATTTTAATTCACAAACTTGTAAAGGAGAACTTCTGAGACCCAGGAGGAATATAATTTCTTAGATTTCCATATATCTTTTGTTGTCAGTCTCCAATATGGTTTGCAGCTGTTCTTCAGCTGATTATTCTATTGATTGGCTTCATAGGACTGCTGTAAAATAAACTGGGAGGTCATGGCTTATGTTCAGTTCTTGATGGCTTCAGTTTTACGTTATAATTTTCAGGAATAGAGGAGTTGAACTCTGTGCTGCTCACAAAACTTCCTTACGTATGTGGGTCATGGATACTAGTCACAGAGTTTCCTTCTTCCACTTGTGGAGAGTGTTACCGTATTTTCTTCCATTAAAGTTGCTCAAAGTTCTTGACAAACATCAATGTATCAATCAGCCTATAATGTTGGTATCTAATAATGCTGTTCTTTTGGAAAACAAGGATATCTGTTTTACTGTGGGAATTTTCTATCCGTGATTAAATTATGCATGACTTCTGCATGTTAGATTGATGCACACATTTCATAACCATTTCATTCTGTATCTAGGTCTACGTTACCCTTAAGCCAAGAAGATTATGAGGTAACTTCAAGATTTCACATTTTTATTTTAAAGTATTTAATGGTATTATTTTAATACAGCTTGTCCTGTTGTACGTAGTGCTGCGGAATGGAAGACCAACATTAGTTGTTTTCTAGAGTGGCTAGATGAGCATAGTTTTATGTGGAAAAATCAGCAGCCATTCAGCTCTATCTTTAGCTAGAGCAGAGTTTCGCTAAGGAAGTTTGTATTTATTTATAACATTTTAACCTGCTTTTCATTATCATAATAATAATCCCCAAACAGGCTTTGCACCTCATTCTTACAAGGGAGAGCATGGTTGTATATTTTTATTTATTACAAATATTTTACTTAAGTTTACTCATCATTACAACATCTACAAAACTGACAACAAACTAAAATATACCATTAAAAACATGACAATCCAGCAGCAGAACAAAAGCATACACACACAGTAGTGAAGCACTTATGAAGAATAGGATCACAGTAATGAGAGGGTCTCTGCTGAAGAAAAGTTTATGCTTTCCTTTGGAAATACAGCAGAGAAAAGAGTGTACAGACATCTTGGGAAGAAGTGTCAAAGTACAGGGGCAGGTACTGAGAAGAAACTACTATCACCTGGGCTGGATCTTCTGGCACACTGGAACTGAGAATTGTTGGCTCTTCTGCCAAGGATTTTTCCATTCAACCCAGTGTAGGAAACATAGAAAGGAAAGCTTTGCATCTTCCTGCTCAAAATCAGCAGTTTAGAACTTAACAATTCTTGTGCCCATCCTGAAACAAAAAAGATAGGAATGAAGATGATTTTAATGAGTAATTCCATTTTTAAACCAGTGGTGCCACTGCAAATATAGGTAGTCCTCAACTTACGATGGCAATTGGGACTGGAATTTCTGTCGCTAGGTGATGCAGTTGTAAAGCATGACCACATCGCTTAGCGACAGCAATCCCTGCAGTCCTGGTTGCTGTCGTTAACCAAACCCCATGGTTGTTAGGTGAGACAACTTCCTGCCAGTTTTCCACAGCTAAGTCAATGGGGAAGCCAGCAGGAAGTTGCAAGTCTCAGGCAGTTTGCAAGCAGGCCGGCAGGCAAGTAAGTGTCTGCTGCTCAGTAGGGGAGGGCGTGAGGATGTGAGGAAGATGCAGCAAGGCTCGGGGGGCATGTGTGCAAGGGAGGCACAGTGAAGCTCAGGGAGGGTACATGAGGGTGTGAGGGAGGCATGGGGAGGGCATGTGAGGGTGCACAGGAGGCGTAGCAAGAGTTGGGGAGGCTGCAGGAAGGTGTGCAGGAGGGTGAGGATGTGAGGGAGACATTGGCTTGGGGAGGGTGTGTGGAGGAGCGCAAGGGTACAAAGGAGGCTCGGGGAGGGGTGTGAGGGAGGTGCAGTGAGGCTCAGGGAGAGTGTGCAAGTGGCCAGCGTGGTGTGAGCACAGGGGTTGGGGGAGGGTGTATGGGTGGGGGAGACTTACCCCAGCGATTTGCGACCTTCCCTGCCAGCTTCACCATTGACTTTCTGGGGTAGCTGGCAGGGAAGTTTGCAAATGGCAATCAAGTGATTGTGGGGCGCTGCAATGAGTTGTAAGTGCAAGCTAGTTGCCAAGTGCCCAGATCACGATCACATGACCGCAGGGCTGCTGGGACAGCTGGAACTCTGAGGGCTGGTCATAACCACCATTTGTTCAGCGCCATCGTAACTTTGAAAGGTTGCTGAATGAATGGTTGTAAGTCAAGGACTACCTGTATAAGGAAAATAAAAGAAGACAACTGTCAAACACCCAGTATTTCAAAAAATCAGAACAATCAACTAAAGCAAACAAGTTACTTAATACTGGTTGAATAAAACATTGGGTTTCAGTATATGTTAGGATCTCAGTGCAGAGAGGATGGTTTGAGAGAGATAATCTGAGCCTTCTGTTTGCATATTGTTAGGCCCTCTGTATTCCTCCCCCTTTCTCTTTTTCTCTTATTTCTCTTGAGCACTGTCCTCATCATTTTATAGGACATGAAGGATAATTAAAACTTAGTATTTGTGGAGACTGACTGTTATTTCATCCAGTCAAACAAAATACTCTAGTTTTGAAGTCAGAAAATTGTTTGGTGGAGGAACCCACTTTCCTAATGATCCTGTGGTTCAATTACATGTGCACCCACTAGTTTTCAACAGCTGTGCCATTGAGTTTTTTAAAAGAAAATTGAAGAGGCTTTTTGGGGAACCAAAGATGAATTCTGTCTATTCAGATCTCTCAGGATGGGGACAGTTTACCAAATGATTTTGATAGCAGTATTGTACCATACCAAAAACTGGGGATTTGTTACATCTGTTGTGTAATAAAAGCAGCACGCTACAAAGAATAAGTCTGAAATAGACTATAGTAGTGCAATTGATTATTTAGATGCTATTGAGCCATGACTGCAAAGAATAATGTGTTAAAATGTTGTGGAAGGAACTGTAAGTAAAAGGTCTGAAAGTACTCATTAAGTTTTGAATCCCACTCTGTACGTTCTTCCCTATAGGCCTTTTTACAAAAATTGGTGCGAAACTTACTTGCAGAAGGCAATGATTTGTTCAGAGAGAAGGATTATAAGCTAGCACTGGTACAGTATGTAGAAGGGCTAAATGTGTCTGAATATGCAGCTTCAGATGAAGTGAACATTCCTGTGGATCTTTTATGTAAACTACATGTCAATCGAGCTGCCTGCTACTTTGCTATGGTGAGTACCCTTTGGACTACTTCACGTATCTGTGTACAAGTAGTCCTCACTTACCGATTGCAATTGGGACTGGCAACTGTGTTGCTAAGCAACACAGTTGTGAAGTGAAATGTCACATGACTGTGCCCAACTTACATCAGTTTGTCAGTTCCGGCTGCAGTCATTAAGCACTTCACCTGGGGTCATTAAGTGTGATGTCATGTGACTGTGACTTGCATCTTCCTGCTGGCTTTCCCATTGACTTTGCTTGTCAGAAACTGGCTGTGAAGGTCGCAAATGGTGATCATGTGATCCCGGGACTCTACGACTGTCATAAATGTGCTCCAGTTACCAAGCAACCAAATCATGATCATGTGACCGCAGGGATGCTGCAACAGTCGTAATTTTGGAGACCAATCGTAAGTCTCCTTTTTCAGTGCCATTGTAACTTCAAATGGTCTCTGAACAAGTGGTTGGTAAGCGAGGACTACATGTACTTGTTAACTTCATCCATTGAAAAACACCACACTGAAATGGTTTTGAGGAAAAACAATGTTTTTAGACCTGTTATCTCTCTTACGTAAGTGCAAGTCATTATTTAATGTTGTATTTGTCAGGTGACAGCCATACATGTGTGATTCATCCCTCTTTGGCTGATATTTGCTTAAAGCAGATTGAAAATATGTGTATGTGTATATAAAACAAGGGAGTACAATAGGAAAAGTGATCCATTTTAAATGTGCGCATGATACAAAGGTAGGCACAACACCCAACAGTGTAAAATTTGTATAGGCCTGGTGTGCTAAGAGTTGAGGTTCTCAAAACACAAGCAGATCTTCCCCCCAAAGTGTCAAATTCTAGAGAAGTAGCAAAAATAATTGGGAATGATGGCAAAATAAAGACATTGTGCTTATGGTTATGTATGTATATGTGGGAGAAGCATGTATATATAAATTTTCATATATAATTAGCATCAGCTCATTTTAAATATACAGAAACCTGGGGCTCACACACTCCATCCTTTGCACATGAAGGCAGGTTAGAAACAGAAGATTGTCTTTTTCCTTTTCCAGAAAAGAAAGAGGAGAAGGGAATTGAAGGGTTAGAGGTTGCTTAAAGTTCTTCTTGTAATGACAAAGCAAAATTTGTCATGTTGCCAATGTTGAGATGCACATCTCTCTCTCTCTCTGTTTATATACGTGTGTGTGTTGTTTTAACTTTGTACAATACCTAGAGTCACTGTTGTGAGATGGGCGACCATATAAATCATTTAAATAAATAAACACACACATTTTTTGTGTATGTTTTCATACACATTCACATGAAAAGAAGATAGAGATTGACTGTTTGTTTATGTGCCATCAAGTTGGTGTCAACTCTTAGTGATCACATAGACAGATTTTCTTCAGGAGGATCTGTCCACAACCTGGTCCTTCAGATCTTTCAACAGTGCACCCATCACGGCTGTAATTGAGACATCCACCTTGCTGCTGATTGTCTTCTGTTTTCTTCCACCCTTCTTAGCATTATAGCCTTCTCCAGAGAGCTAGTTTTTTGTATAATGTATCCGAAGTATGATAATTTGAGCTTGGTCATTGGTGCCTCAAGTGAGAACTCTGGGTTGATTTGTTCGATGATCCATTTTTTTGTTTCCTTGGCTCTCCATGGTATTCTCAGGAGTTTTCTCCAACACCAAAGTTCAAAGGCATCGATGCTCTTTTTTTCTTGCATCTTCAAAGTCCAACTTTCATTTCCATAGAATGTCACAGAGAAAACCATTGCATGCATGATTCTGACTTTTAGAAGGTAGAAGGCTATTTTTGTACATTCATATTCAGAGCCCTAAAACATGAAAGCAAAGAGGAAGAAAATTTGATCAAAGCAAATGGCAAAGTGGCATAGTTACCATATTTTTCTGTCAATAAGACGCCCCCATGTACAAGACAACCCCCACTTTTCCAACCCAAAA